GGAAATCTTCCTAAACCACTAATTAATTGTTCTTAGACAATTAATCTTTCAAAATTCAGAACTGGGCAGTGGGTATAGAATTTGTTTGGGGGGGTAGCAAAATTTTCTGTAGGCACTAGAGGGATAGTACAGCAGGTAAGTCTCACCATATGACTGACCCTGTTTTAATCCTTGGTACCACAAGCACTGATAGGAGCAGCGCTCAGGGCTTACTCCTGGCTCTGTGCCCATATAATACATAAACTGTATTAATAAAATTTTAAAGAAATTATGGTTTTGGACACACCTGACTGTGCTCAGGGATCCCTTGTGACAGCGCTTGGGGGACTCTTATGTGGTACCAGAGATTGAACCAGGGTCAGCCATATGGCAAGGCAAGCACCTTACCCACTGTACTCTCTCTCTCTCTCTCTCTCTCTCTCTCTCTCTTTCTCTCTTCCCCTCTCTCTCTGATCCATAAAGCAATTTTTTCTTTCTATTTTTTGGGTGACACCTGGCGATGCACAGGGGTTACTCCTGGCTCTGCACTCAGGAGTTACTCCTGGCGGTGCTCAGGGGAACATATGGGATGCTGGGAATTGAACCCGGGTCGGCCGCGTGCAAGGCAAACGCCCTACCTGCTGTGCTATCTCTCCAGCCCCAAAGCAATTTTTTTATAGATGGAGATATAAATATGGGAAAATCACATAGCTGGTATAAAAGATTGAGTTAGAAATATGTAGGATTAAGGCTTTATTCTGACCCAATTCTAATAGTGAGACAGACTGTTCCTAATCTGCAACTACAAATAAATAAGACCTATATGCAGTCTAGTTCTTGGATATTAAAAGGTATCAGTAAAGGGTCAGCTTATGATTATAGAAATGAAAAATTGATGAAGAAAACATTTAAAGGTTTCTTTTCGTTTGGTTTGGGGGCCACACCTGGCAATGCTCAGGGGCTAATTCTGGGTCTACACTAAGGAATTACTCCTGGTGTTGTTCGGGGAACCATATGGGAAGCTGGGATTCGAACTGAGGTCAGCCATGCAAGGCAAGCACCCTACCCATTGAACTATCACTCCAGCCCCTCATTAAGGTTTTATAGAAAAAGAACTTATTTTAAGACATATATGGGATCAGAGTTGGGGAATCTTAGTACTGTACATGCTAATGACTTAGCTTTATTTATTTTAGTGCCAGGGATTGAAGTAATGTGTATAAAATGCTTTACTTAGTATAAAGAATTAATAAAGTGAAAGTTAAAATTTTTTGTTAGGGGGCTGGAGCAATAGTACAGTGGGTAGGGCAGGGCATTTGTCTTGCACACGGCCAACCCAGATTCAATCCCCGGCATCCCATATGGTCCCCTGAGCACCACCAGGAGTAATTCCTGAATGCAGAGCCAGGAGTAACCCCTGAGTATTGCCAGGTGTGACCACCCACAAGAAAGTCAAGAAATTTTGCTAAACTAGTAAATGGGAATATTAATAATTCACCATTTGATGACCATCCCTATATACCAGGAATTGTGAGAAATGAAAACACAGTTCCTGCTATTTTGGTACACAGATTGCCACAGGAATTATATACAAAAAGAAAAAAAAAGTGGAGACAAGCTTATTTCAAGATGTAGTAGGAACAGAAGGCAAGAACACTCAACACGGCCGACCCAGGTTCGATCCCCATCATTCTTGGAAACCACCAAGAGTAACTCTTGAATGCAAAGCCAGGAGTAACCTCTGAGAATTTCCAGGTGGGGCCCCAAAACAAAACAAAACAAAAAAAACCACAGAGCTTAAAGACCTCCCAGACAAGCCTGGGGGAAATCAGGAAGCCTTCATAAAAGTGGAGATGCTTGAGCTGAAAAGTAAAGGTTGAGTAATGCTATTTCAAATAGTAAAGGGAGACAGGTCAGGTAGAAAGAATTCTTGCAGGAAATTCCCTGAAGGATATTTCACTATTGTTGAGCCTTAAAGTGTATTTCTAAAACTGTCTTAGCAGGAGATAAAGTGAAAGAAGTAGGCCACAGTTAGAACTTTGAGTTACCAAGGGTTAATTATTCTGAATAGTTGATACTCATTGTAGAATTCTGAAATGACATATATATGATGGCATGTAGCACTGTAGCACTGTCCTCCCGGTTATCATTTGCTCGAGTGGGCACCAGTAACGTCTCCATTGTGAGACTTGTTACTGTTTTTTGGCATATCGAATACATCACGGGGAGCTTGCCAGGCTTTGCCGTGCAGGCAGAATACTCTTGGTAGCTTGCCGGGCTCTCCAAGAGGGGCAGAGGAATCGAACTCAGGTCGGCCACGTGCAAGGCAAATGCCCTATCCACTGTGCTATATACTCTGGCCTATGATGGCATGTATTTTTGTTTATTTTAGAATTATTCTGGAAGCTATAAATAAAGGAGCTGGTATACTGAGATGAAGGTAAAGAGAACAGAATGATATAATATTTGAGAAAATGTATGAATGCTTAAGTAGCATGATATAGAGATGATTATAAAATCCCCAAAACGTGTTAATTAACATGGAATAGAGGGAGATGATTATAAAATCCCCAAAACCTGTTAACTAACATGGCATAGAGGGAGATGATTATAAAATCCCCCAAACTTGTTAATTGACATGATATGGGGAATCTGAAAGAAAGGAGTCAAGGTTGACCTGCTGCTCCCCTCCCCTCTGTTATTCAAACTAAGGTTGCTAGGTGAAAGATGGTATCATTCTCTGAGACAGTGAATGCTGGCAAAAAACATCTTGTAGGTCAGGGTGATTTATACATTGTTTATTCCAAAAAGGGACATAAGTGTTTTTATAAAAGAACTCAGAAAGCCATCCCTTTAAGATCACAATGTTGGTCAGAGGTGAAAAATGTTTTTTTTTTCTTTTTGGGTCACATCTGGTGATGCACAGGGGTCATTCCTGGCTCTGCACTCCGGAATCACCCCTGGCGGTGCTCAGGGGACCATATGGGATGCTGGGAATCGAACCCAGGTTGGCCGCGCGCAACTCAAGTGCCCTACCTGCCATGCTATCACTCCAGCCCCCGTGAAAAATATTTAAAATGTTAAGGTATGAGCTGGAGAGATAGCATAGCAGGTAGGGTGCTTGCCTTGCAAGAAGGAAGCTGACTGAGGTCCAATCCCCAGCATCCCATATGGTCCCCTGAGCACTTCCAGGAGTGATTCCTGAGTGCAAATCCAGGAGTAATCCCTGAGCATTAATGATGTGGCTCAAATCCAAAACATTTTAAATAGTTTATTTATTCTTGAACCACACCTTGGTTCAATCCGTGGCACCACACATAGTTCCCTGAACCTCACCAGGATTGATCCCTGAGTTCAGAGCCAAGAGTAAGTTCTGAGTATAGCTTGGTTTAGCACAAAAAGAAAAATCCAGGTTGGGGAGATGGCTCAGAGTGCTTCAGTGCATGCTTGGCATGCAGGAGCTTTGGGTTTGATGCCAGCCTCCATATCCTAAGCACCTCAGGAAGTGACTCCAAGTAGTGCTGGGAGTAGCCCCTAGGCACTGCCAGGTGGGACTCCAACACACACACACACACACACACACACACACACACACACACACACACACGACAAATCTAAGACCTCACATTTGCTGTTGATTTTAACAGTCTGTGGTAATCTAGGCAAGGATTCAAATGAGTCTCATCTCCATGGTCAAAGATTTTGCTAGTGGTAGAGCTTATGCTTTGTAATAGAGTCCCTGGATTTGACCCATAGTGTGCATATATACAGGCATGCACAAATCAGGCTGGACTGTTCTTTGTGTTCTGTATGTTTGTCACTCAGATCACAAGTTTCAGGTGGTAGCCTGGCTCCTGGGAGGGTTTAGGTCAAGGTGGGGCATGATGAGATCAAGTCTCCAGCTTCAAGAGGCCCCCTGGGGTGAAGTGAAAGCTTGCTCTTTTGAAACAGTCTCAGTTGGTAATTAACAACATATCAAGCATACTGAGGTGTCAAATAGAGAAGGATTTGTAGGCACGATGCTGTTGGTAACTGATTTCAATCATACAAGGAAGCTATTAAATCTGTGAACATTAGCATTCTGCCAGGTAATGAGATCTAGTTCTTAGCGCCTCCCATACACACTGATTTGGAACACTTCCATCTCCTGTCTTCCTCTACCCTACTTTATTCCCTTTCATACTGCCCTTGAAATCAATGAATGATAATTTAGCATATCACTAGCAAGTGTCTGAATAAAAGATTTGGTTTCCGGTTGTGCCTTCTGTTACAAGGAAAAAAATGTGTAGTGCATAAATTTTATTGGCTACATTAATGTGTAAGCCTTTTCTAGCGAAGAGGTGGATTTGTTACTAAGTAATTTGCAGAAGGTAGAGTTTTCATATAGTGTTGCTCTAATGCATTCAGACTATGACAGAAGCTACTCATTTAGGATATTGGTTGTTGGTAACATGGGTTTGAACAAAGTGACCAGTCTCCAATGGCTACTCCCTCTTTGGGCTTCAGGTTGCTAGGGCTCCTCAGACAGTCGCTGTTTTCCCTGCCTGAAAAGGGGGTGGAGGGAGGGAGTTGGTATGTTGGGGCGGGAGACAGGAAAATATACATAAATTGTCTGCCTCTCCACAGAGGTGAAATAAACTGTAGAAATAAATACTGTTGAGCAGGAGGAAGAAGAAAAGATACGTTTGGAGGCTTTTTTTTGTTTTGTTTTGGTGTGTGTATGTGTGTGTGTGTGTTTTCTCCAATGCAGCGACGCATTAACCCTGCTGCTATTGGGATATTCTCAGCTCAGCCTATTGGCTGAGCCCAGGAACCACTGTCTGCCAATCGGGTGGTGGAAGGCAGACAAATCTACCCCGCCACTAGCAAAAAACGGCGCGTAACCCTTGCAGTGCCGGCTCTGCCGCGCCAGAGCTGGCGCGAGGAAAAGGAGATAGGTGTCTCCAGCTGCTGTGGTCGTTTGGGGCGGGTCGGCTTCTTCTGTTTCTCAGGACCAGACAGAAAACTGGCCGCTGGCAGAAATGCTCTGCAAGGTGAGGAGCTGGGTAGAAATCTGCCGGGGGGCTACCCTTTTGTTCCTTTTTTGCCACCTGGGTTACGTTTGTGGGCAGATCCGTTACCCGGTCCCAGAGGAGTCACAGGAAGGGACTTTTGTAGGGAATGTCGCCCAAGATTTCCTGCTGGATACAGAGAGCTTGTCAGCTCGAAGGCTGCAGGTTGCTGGAGAGGTGAACCAAAGACACTTCCGTGTGGATTTGGACAGCGGAGCTCTGCTCATCAAGAATCCAATCGATCGAGAGGCACTGTGTGGGCTCAGTGCCAGCTGCATCGTGCCCCTGGAGTTTGTAACTGAAGGGCCTTTGGAAATGTATCGAGCGGAGGTAGAAATTGTAGATGTGAATGATCACGCCCCCCGATTTCCTCGGCAGCAGTTGGACTTAGAAATTGGGGAAGCAGCTCCCCCAGGACAGCGTTTCCCCTTGGAAAAGGCTCAGGATGCAGATGTGGGAAGCAACTCCATCAGCAGCTATAGACTAAGCTCCAATGAACACTTTGCACTGGATGTCAAGAAGCGCAGTGATGGCAGCCTGGTTCCAGAGCTGCTTCTGGAGAAGCCTTTAGATCGGGAAAAGCAATCAGACTACCGCCTGGTGCTGACTGCTGTGGATGGAGGGAACCCCCCTAGGTCTGGCACCGCGGAGCTCCGGGTATCAGTGCTGGACGTGAATGACAACGCCCCAGCCTTCCAGCAATCCAGCTACCGAATTAGTGTGTTAGAGAGTGCACCAGCCGGCATGCTGCTCATCCAGCTCAATGCCTCTGACCCAGACCTGGGTCCCAGTGGTAACGTCACTTTTTCCTTCAGTGGTCACACCCCTGATCGTGTAAGAAACCTCTTTAGCCTGCACCCCACTACTGGAAAGCTTACCCTTCAAGGACCCCTAGACTTTGAGAGTGAAAATTACTATGAATTTGATGTTCGTGCTCGTGATGGGGGTTCTCCTGCCATGGAGCAACATTGCAGCCTTCGGGTGGATCTCCTAGATGTGAATGACAATGCCCCACACATTACAGTAACCTCTGAGCTTGGGACTCTCCCTGAGAGCGCAGAACCTGGCACTGTGGTGGCACTCATCAGTGTACAGGACCCGGACTCAGGGTCAAATGGAGATGTAAGCCTCCGTATTCCTGACCACCTGCCATTTGCCCTCAAGTCTGCCTTCAGGAACCAGTTCTCTCTTGTGACTGCTGGGCCTTTGGACAGAGAGGCCAAGTCCAGCTATGACATCATGGTGACTGCTTCTGATGCTGGGAACCCTCCTCTGAGTACACACAGGACTATTTTCCTCAATATTTCAGATGTGAATGATAACCCACCCTCTTTCTTCCAGAGATCACATGAGGTATTTGTTCCTGAAAATAATCGCCCAGGAGACCTGCTTTGCTCCCTTGCAGCCTCTGATCCAGACTCTGGCTTGAATGCACTTATCTCCTACTCTCTTCTAGAGCCCAGAAATCGAGATGTGTCAGCTTCTTCCTTCATCTCTCTGAATCCACAGACTGGAGCTGTTCATGCTACTCGATCCTTTGATTATGAGCAGACACAGACATTACAATTTGAGGTGCAGGCCCGTGATCGGGGCAACCCTCCTCTTAGTAGTACTGTGACAGTTCGTCTCTTTGTGCTGGACCTCAATGATAACGCCCCAGCTGTACTCCGTCCTAGGGCCCGGCCTGGTTCCTTATGTCCCCAAGCGCTGCCTCCATCAGTGGGTGCTGGCCACCTAGTCACTAAGGTGACAGCTGTGGACTTGGATTCAGGTTACAATGCTTGGGTTTCATATCAGCTCCTGGAGGCCCCAGATCCCAGTCTGTTTGCAGTTTCCCGCTATGCTGGGGAGGTACGGACAGCCGTTCCCATCCCAGCTGATCTCCCGCCACAGAAGCTGGTCATAGTGGTAAAGGACAGTGGTAGCCCACCACTCTCTACCTCTGTTACTCTCCTAGTGTCTTTGGAGGAAGACACACATCCAGTTGTCCCTGATCTTCGAGAATCTTCAGCTCCAAGGGAAGGAGAATCTCGCTTGACCCTGTATTTGGCTGTGTCGCTAGTGGCAATTTGTTTTGTCTCCTTTGGATCATTTGTGGCTCTACTCTCTAAGTGTCTTCGTGGGGCTGCCTGTGGAGTAACCTGCTTTCCTGCTGGCACCTGTGCCTGTCTCACCAGATCTCGAAGGAGGGAGGGGCTTCCTCCCTCAAATGGGATCCTCCGAATCCAGCTCGGGTCAGATGATCCAATCAAGTTTGTTGATGTGGGTGGCCACTCTCACGGCTGTACACCCTTGGCTTCTGCACCCACTCGGAGTGATAGCTTCATGATGGTGAAGTCACCCAGTGCACCTATGGCAGGGGAGCCTGTTCGCCCAAGCTGCCCACCCTCTGATCTTCTCTATGGGCTAGAGGTGAGACCTTTGCAGGCTCAGCCTATGCTCAAGGGCTTTTCTGTTTCAGGTATATGGCTGGGCTCAGGGAGCACTGGCTTTTCTGTAAGAGCCCATAGTGATGTCATCATTTTTGTGAGTGGTAACTGTGTTGTAGATGCTGTTATTTAGAAATGGGTTGAGAATTAACCAGGGGGTTGTTACAGATATCTGTTTGGGATATCTACACCCTTATCTGAGAATAAGAAATAAAACTAAAAAAAAGCATAAGGGTATTTTGGAAGCATGTTGCTGGAATGTGGGCATCTAGAAGACTATCGTGCCATAAAATTGAGTGCATTAGTTACCTAGCTGAGGCGACTGCTTTCTCTATTCTTTTGGAGTGGGCCAGGTGTGGACTAACTTAATGCTACCTTTATGGAAGAAAAGGGAACTTTGACCCATAGTATCAAGTACTCTCTAATATGCTGATAAAGGGAATTCTGCTCAGAACATAACAAAAGGCATGAAAAGGAAAGAGCCAAGAGAGAAGAGAAGTATAAATGAGGACTGACCTTTCAGTCCAGACCTTTGGGATTCTCAATCAAGTTCCTACTTGGAAGTTGATCTAAATGTAATAGAAAGGAGAAAACGGAGCATTATATCTTTAGTGAATGAATAAATAAGTGAGTTAACTTAATGTTAGAAACTATTTTGGGATAGAGAGAGAATATGGTGGGTAAGGTTTTTGCCTTGCATATGCTGATGTTGGTTAGATTCCCAGTTCCATCAGGAATGATGAAGGAAGGAAGGAAGGAAGGAAGGAAGGAAGGAAGGAAGGAAGGAAGGAAGGAAGGAGGGAAGGAAGGAAGGGAGGGAGGGAGGGAGGGAGGGAGGGAGGGAGGGGAGAAAGAGAGAAAGAAAGGAAAGAAGAGAGGGAAAGAAAGAAAGAAAGAAAGAAAGAAAGAAAGAGAAAAAGGAGAGAAGAGAGGGAGGGAAAGAAAGAAAAAAGAAAGGGAAAGAAAGAGAGAAAGGAAGAAAGAGAAGTAAGAGAGAGGGAGAGAGGGAAAGAGAAAGAGAGAGAGGAGAGAAATAAGAGGGAGGGAGGGAAACAGAAAGAAAGAAAGAAAGAAAGAAAGAAAGAAAGAAAGAAAGACGATGAACAAGAGGGAGGAAAGAAAGGGGAAGAGAGGAAGGGAGGGAGGAAAAGAGGAATGGAGGGAAGGAAGGGAGGGAAGGAAGGAAGGAAAGAAGGAAATGTTCTTAAAGTTGAGTTCATTTATAGAAAGAACCATTTGACTATGGGAGTCTTAGATAGAGTTCTTTTGAAAACCATAATATCTTAAGGCAGTGCCTAGTTTCTTGTCACCTTTTGATGACCTGAATCACCAAGGATTCATGGGTATTTGGGAAGTTCCAGAAATGTTCCTTCTACCATAGCTGTAATGCTGTAATGCTCATTACATTGCTTTACTGTGGGAAAGAGTAGAAGAGCCAAGTAAGCTGAGATTCAAACCCCTCAAAGCATTGATCTCCCTCAATGTAGCGTCAGAGCAAGATTCTACAAGGGTTTAACAAATCTTCTCTCTCACAGGATGGAGAAGTGAAGGGAAATACATCGGTTTTCCCTCCCTTAGAAGAGCACAATTTTGTTAGTTCAAACAAAGTACCATAAGTTTCTGAGGTCGTTCAGGAAGTTGCCGGGACAGAATACTGAGAAGTTTTGTACCACTTTGTCCTCCCTGTTGAGCACCATCTGAGCTGTCAAACTTTGCTGCCAATGGGGGTGAATCAACTTGCAGCACGAAATGTTTGGTGAGGTAGGAGGTTTCTGTGACACAGATTTGCAGCGCCTGTTCCCAAGGTTTACATTTCTAAAGAGACTTTATAATTGGTGGAGAGCAGACAGACTTTTTGGCCAATCAGATTCTGTGCCGAGGTGGGGGATCTGCTCTTCCTGCCCGCCTCTCCTCCCCCAGCTCCCAGGCTCCACTCAGATTCAATTCCCCTCCTCCTCCACACCCCCGCCATTTGGTGACTAAGAAGAACTGCTGCAGGCAGACAAACCTCGGAGCAGTTTTTAAGAGCTGGAAGGAGATATTAGAGATTTCAGCTGCTACATCCCAAGCCCTGGGTCTACCTTGGAGACAGGACAGCAAAGAATCAGTGTCCAGGAAGGGACTTCTGGGGCATGGGGCCCAAGACACCCACTGAGCTCTCTGGGAAATGGCAAGTGCTATGCATGTTGTCCTTGTGCTGCTGGGGCTGGGTGTCTGGGCAGCTTCATTACTCAGTGGTGGAGGAGTCTGAGCCTGGGACTCTGGTGGGGAATGTTGCGCAGGATCTAGGCTTAAAGGTGACAGATCTGTTGAGCCGCCGACTGCGGTTGGGCTCTGAGGAGAATGAGCACTATTTTTCTCTGAGCTTGATGAGTGGTGCTCTGGCAGTGAATCAAAAGATTGACCGAGAGAGCTTGTGTGGAGCCAGCACCAGCTGCCTGCTGCCAGTGCAGGTGGTGACTGAACACCCCTTGGAATTAATTCGTGTAGAGGTAGAGATCCTGGATCTTAATGACAACTCTCCTAGCTTTGCCACTCCTGAACGAGAGATACGCATCTCAGAATCAGCAGCAGTTGGAGCAAGGTTTCCACTGGATAGTGCCCAGGATCCAGACGTGGGCACCAATACCGTGAGCTTCTATACTTTAAGCCCCAGTAGCCACTTCTCTCTGCATGTGAAAACCCTAAAAGATGGAAAACTGTTTCCTGAACTGGTGCTAGAGCAGCAGCTGGACCGTGAAGCGCAGGCAAGACATCAGCTAGTGCTTACTGCTGTGGATGGGGGTACCCCAGCCCGCTCAGGCACCACCTTAATCTCTGTCATCGTGCTGGATATCAATGATAATGCTCCAACCTTCCAGTCCTCAGTTATACGTGTGGGACTTCCAGAGAATGTACCCATAGGTACATTGCTGCTCCGCCTCAATGCCAGTGATGTAGATGAGGGCACCAATGGCCAACTAGACTATTCTTTTGGAGACCATACATCTGAGGCAGTGCGCAATCTCTTTGGCCTAGATCCTATTAGTGGAGCCATCCATGTGTTAGGTCTCATAGACTTTGAGGAATCAAGTTTCTATGAAATTCATGCAAGAGCCCGGGACCAGGGACAGCCAGCGATGGAAGGCCACTGTGTGATTCAAGTGGATGTGGGGGACGTCAATGATAATGCCCCAGAGGTACTACTGACCTCTTTGGTGAATCCTGTCCTGGAGAGTACATCAGTGGGCACAGTAGTGGGATTGTTCAATGTGCGTGACCGAGATTCAGGGAGAAATGGTGAAGTAAGCCTGAATATCTCTCCAGATCTGCCATTTCAGATTAAGCCTTCTGAGAACCACTACTCATTGCTAACTAGTCAGCCCCTGGATCGTGAGGTCAGACCACACTATATAATCAAGCTGCTGGCCAGTGATGCGGGCTCACCTCCCCTGCAAACTCATCTCACAATCAAGCTCAACATTTCAGATGTTAACGACAATACACCTTACTTCAGTCAGCAGCTTTACACTGCTTATATTTCAGAAAACCGGCCTCCAGGCTCCCTTCTCTGCACTGTGGCTGCGTCAGATCCAGATATTGGGGATAATGCCCGCCTCATCTACTCCATTGTAGGGAATCAGATCCAGGGAGCCCCAGCCTCCTCCTTTGTTTACGTCAACCCTGACGATGGGCGTGTCTTTGCCCAGCGAACCTTTGACTACGAACTGCTGCAGATGCTGCAGATCGTAGTGGGGGTTCGAGACTCTGGCTCTCCCCCATTGCATGCCAACACATCTCTGCACGTGTTTGTCCTGGACCAGAATGATAATGCCCCCATGGTGCTGCATCCAAGACCAGGCCAGGAACTCTCAGCCCCCCAGCGTCTCCCTCGCTCTATTCCTCCTGGCTCCTTGGTCACCAAAGTGACAGCTGTAGATGCTGATGCAGGCCACAATGCGTGGCTCTCTTATTCTCTATTGCCCCAGTCCACGACTCCAGGGCTGTTCCTGGTATCTGCACGTACTGGGGAGGTACGCACAGCCAGGGCCTTACTAGAGGAGGATGCTGACACCCAGCAGGTGGTGGTCTTGGTGAGGGACAATGGTGACCCATCCCTCTCGTCCACAGCCACAGTGCTGCTGGTTCTGGAGGATGAAGACCCAGAGGAAATGCCCAAATCCAGCGACTTCCTCACACACACCCCGGAGCGGTCAGACCTTACCCTTTATCTCATTGTGGCTCTGGCAACCGTCAGTCTCTTATCCTTAGTCACCTTTACCTTTCTGTCAGCTAAGTGCCTTATGGGGCAAGCCAGTGGGGACGGGGGCGGGGGCCAGTGCTGCAGGCGTCAGGAGTCACCCTCGCGGGAGTTCTATAAGCAGTCGGGCCCCAACCTGCAGGTGAGCTCCGATGGCACGCTCAAGTACATGGAGGTGACGCTGCGGCCCACGGACTCGCAGAGCCATTGCTACAGGACGTGCTTTTCACAAGCCTCGGACGGCAGTGACTTCACTTTCCTCAGGCCGCTCAGCGTCCAGCAGCCCGCCTCCGCGGCGCTGGAGCCTGACGCCTACAGGTCCCGCGCTAACACCCTGAGGGAGCCGAGCCAGGTGAGGGGCGGGGTGCGCCCTGGGGGCGGCCGAGGTCCCGGGCTGGCCGGGGGTGCTGCACCCGCCACTCCTGTCAGGCGCCCCCCTCCCCCGTGGCCAGGACCTTTGGGACTGTCGCCTCCGCCGCTGCCGCCGAGCCAGAGATGTGGAAGGGGCCGGGAGCCCCGGAGACGGAGACTGAGGGCCGGTGTGTGTGTGTGTGTGGGGGGGGGGGGGGGTCCCACACCCCCACTTAGCCAAGCCGGGGACTCCAGGCGGAGTTCCACAGCGGTTGGGGGGACCACGTAAAGGCCGCCCCAGCCACTCGCCGGCCTCACGGTTCCTCGGTGTGACCCCGCTCCCCGGCCGCCCGCCCTAGGAACGCACCCTCGCGCCCGCGCCCTCACGCCGCCGCTCCTCTGACTGGCGGGCAGCGCAGCCCTCAGAAAGTTACTCACCGCCCAGCAGGTGGTGGCGAACAGCCCAAGCGGCGGCCCCCGAGGGCGGCCGGGGGTTCAGGAGTCGCTTCCCCGCGCTTCAGGCTGGCGGGGGTCGCCCCCGGCCGGCTGAGGCGTCAGAGCGAGCGCGGGAAGGGCTCGGGCGCTCTAGGCGCGGGGCGGCGGCACTCTATGACCCGCGAGCTGCGGGTCCTGGGGCCCAGGGTAGCAGAGGCCGGCCTGGGGCCAGCACGCCGGCCTCCGGGGAACAGGCAGCCCCGGGGCTCAGTGGCATCGGCGGTCGTTACTTCGCGCGAGATGTGGGGTTCTGGAGCGCCAGGCCAACCCGCATTCTGAAATGGATTTTTGATTTGTGACCATAATGTACCAACGATCCAAGATCAGGGCGTTGGGGGTTGACCGGAGTATCTGGGTCTGGGGCAAGCCCTCCCGGCGCTGGCGGAGGGAAAAATCACAGTCTGCCCAATGCGGTGGTGCCCCTGGATACCAGGAGGTTTTCTTACGAACAAGAAAAAAAAATGACAAGTTCTTATAAACCTAGAAGCCTTTATTCAAATGTCCCTAATCCCCACCTTGCCCTGCTGAATCATGCGGAGTCTGCTGAGGTTCTAATAGCTAGTTGAGAGAGCCTCACTCTTTCCTCTTCTGAGAGAGTGTTCTAGGTACTGGCATCACAGAGGGGAAAGTTCACAGGGTAAATGATGAGGTAATCCAGGCTGGTCTAACACCAGAACTTGTGCTTTTCAGCGCTCTGAGACCTTGTAAAGCTGGAGTTCAGGAGATGGTTGGTATCTACTGGGGTATTAGGGCTATTTTAGGGCCTCCCATATGGAGAATTCACTGAGCTCCTCATTCTTGAACAGTCCTAACTGGACAGCTTGGGCCCGCCATCCTTTTGTAGGCTGAGTCTTGTGCAGCTCCTCTCCTTGGATCTCTCAGGGTTTGGGCATCTTTGTGTGTATCCTGTTGTATCTGAGAAAGTTGTGGCCCAGGGCGGGACATCCCAGAGCCCTTCTCCACAGGATCCTCGAGGGTGATGCTCTGGAATGAGGCCTGTGGCTCCAGGGACACTAAGTTTCTGAATTCTGTTCACATAACTACTACCTGTGAGCCTTCCAAATGTCATTTAGCAGCCCTCGGTCTTCTTTCTCTCCAGTGTAATCAGACATGCTCACACCTCCCTCTCTGCTCCTGGGAGTGTGACAATTAATTACCAGCACACCCTAGAACTGGGAAGGAGATGCCTCCAGGAGGGTTCCAAGACAGAACCTTCAGAAAACAGTCCCCCTTTCCTCCCTTGATTATTGATAGTTGGCCTGAGTTCCCCTCCTTCATGGAGGTGGGGAGGGGTGCCGGCTACAGATTGGTCCCTTGGGAGCCCCGGAGACTCAGCTGGCTCTGCTTGGAGGCTGTGGGAGCTTGATCTCTGCTGGGCTCCATCCCAGCAGTTTTCTCTATTCCAAACAGAGTGGCCTTGTTCTCTCCTCCTTAGTCACAACCATTGTCTGGCACAGAGTTTTAGGGGTGAGAGGTCCTGGGGCTTGGATGCCCTGCAAAGGCCCAGTCTGGCATGACTCCTAAATTAATAATGTATTTAGCTGTGGGAAGGGATCTCTGAAAGCCAAGAGTCTGGAGAACGGGTTCCTCTGAATGTGTTGCAGCAGAAATCGGCATGGAAAGGGTTACCAGGAGCGCAGCCATCTTGCTGCAGAGGAAGCTTTGTTCCCAACTGAGGAGCTGAATAAATTCTTTCCAAGGCGGATGGAATTCTCATATAAAACCTCTTCTTCCAGTCTTTTATTTATTTTATTTTTTAAAAATTGGAGGGAGGGGTAGTTCTCTGCACTCTTCTCCCCAGTTTCACCAAAGACCTTTAGCACAGAAATTAATCTATAATTTAATCTAAGCATAGAAGTTCTAGGGGCAGTGGGGGAAAGTCCATTTCTCTAGCAGAAGAATCTGGGTTTGCTCACAGTGGTCAGATAAATGTTTGTATCTCTTTGTTTACTGAACCTCAGACCTCTAAGATTCCGAGGCCTATTTTCTCTTTGCAGATGACATTACCCCCCTCCTTCATTTTATCCTGTTTTCCTCTCTGTGTCCGCTCCTCTCCTTCCCTCCCTGCCAGTCCCCAGGGGCTCAAGTGACATTCTGACTTCTCCCCTCTGTTCTCTCCACAGCAAGCCCCGCCCAACACGGACTGGCGTTTCTCGCAAGGGCAGAGACCCGGCACCAGCGGGTAGGTGACGCCTCTCCAGCCCACCCTCTTCTCTGCGGCATTTTTCTCAGGGATGACGTGGGAGGAAGGGGGGGGGGCTCCGATGGGCTACAAATGGCTTCTTCCCTCGTTTTTTCAGAGATGTTGTCGTAGATTGGGGTCTGGGGAACAGATCCCATGAAAAAGGTGCTACCTCTGGCATCTTCTAAAGAGCCAACTCTTATACCCACCCCGCCTCTGTCTACCTCCTGGGGACTCTAGGGGACCCAGAGATGTTCTTAAAAGTGGTCTCTGGATGGAGGGAAAGCTTTTGTTTATTTTTTTTTCAAATTTTCGTTGAGGTACTATTATTTACAATAGTGTAATGACATTTCATGTATGCATCATTTCATCACTACACCCACCATTATTTGGGCAGAGAGGAGGTTTTTAATGTCTCTGTCCCCTGCTCTGGCTTGGGCTGGCTCCATTCTTCCCTGGAACAGAAGGCAGAGAGCTGTCAGCGGTAGGGCAGTGGAGAGCTGGGATAGCATAGCTGGAAGTGGGATGGAGCAGAGGGAAGGGAGCACCTTCTGGGGAGCTGGGGAACAGGTCTCCCCCACCCTGCCCTCCCTCAGGCTGCCTGCTGGTACCCTTTTGTCACACCCTGGTTACTGGCCTCTTATCTCAGCGTTGCTCCACAGGACCCTATCTCAGCCTCCATCTCTGCCTCTCCCTCTCTTTTTTCAGTCTCTGTCTCAGTTTCGGTATTTGCTGCAGCGTCCTGATCACCAGGGTTTGTATCTTCATGCATTGATCTGTGCCTCAAGCGCCTGTCGGGGCATTGGTGCTCAATAAATGTGGAATCAATGAATAAATGTGGTTCTTCCTTCTTCAGTCTCTTCTTGCTTTCTGTCTCTGTCCTTGACCTCTTTTCTGACCTGTATTCTAGCTTCTGTGTCTCTATTTCTGTCTCTCCCTAATTCTGACTTCCTCGTTCTCAACCTCTCTGGGTCTCTTTCCTTGTCGCTTTGTCCCTGTCCCTTTCTGTATATCACTCAAAGTTTGTTCTCCCCCCAACCCCCCACCCCTGTCTTCCTCTGTTACTCTTTTTATTCCTCTGTCTCTTGTTATCCTTTATTTACTTATTTTTTGACTCCGTGTCTCTGTCTCCATCTCTCATTTCTTTGTACTTGCAAGCGAGCCAGCACAAAGATGTGGTGCAGCCCCCACACCTCACACAGAGAGTCTTTGATCTCTGCTCCCGCTACCACACACCCACCCTTCCAGGCTGCCCCAGCTGCTCATTTCAATCCATTTTGAAATCCAGTTAAGACAGCATCCCCCCTGGGGAGGGGGAGGGGACATCTTCATCGGAAAGACCTTGAGAAGAGTAGTGGGCTCTCAGCCAAGCCTCCTTGTTAGGTGCCAGGAAGCCTGGAGGAACCCACGGTGCCCAGGATAAGAAGTAGGGCAGAGCTTAGGCCGCCTTCCCCTGCCCCCTGGCCAATTAATTTTCCCAGGTGCTGCAGATTTAGCATCTGCCTATTTAGCAGCCTCGTGGCCACAAGAACCCAAGAGACCTTAGCCTATGGCAGAGATTCCAGCTTGTTCCTGGACATGTCCCATCCCGTCTTGGTGTTCAACATCTCAAGACACTTCCTAGAAGGTCCCCAGAAGGCAGCAAACCAGGCAGCCTGACTACTCTTGACCCTCCCTTGACCCCGACTGTCTGTCTCCTTTCCCATTAGCTATTCACAAAATCATTCCTGTATTCCATTCATGTATTTATGTTTCCATTCATTCTGGAAATATTTATTGAGCATCTCCTTACTCAATCTAGGTTGAATGTCAAGTGCCAGACACTTGCCTCTAAGAGTGAACTTCCAGACCAAAGGGGGAGACAGAATATCGATAATAGACCACACTCAAAACAGGTCTAGTTACAAACCATAGCAAATTCTGAGAAGTAGAGGCTAACATGAGTGTAACTGGGGAGTGGGGGTAGAGGGAAAGCTTCTAGAAGAAAGTGAGAGGAGCCAAGATGGTTGAGAATTACTGGCGGCCTTCCCACCCCGATGCTGGACATTCCAGACTCTAAGGCAGGATCCACTGCTGTCCCAGGAAAGTCCCACCAGTGTCCTCTGATGTTCTCAAGTCCCTTGGTGACCTGAATTACATGGAGGAGCTCTTAGGGAAATTGAGGACATACGGCACGAGCTCTCCCATCCTTCATCAACTTGAGGATGAAACAGTTACTGATTTGGTATCAAATTGGCCCAGATGGGCTAAGAATTAGGGGGCCCAGTTCAGCACCTGCAATTCTCCTTCTTTATTTTTTCAATCAATAGAAACACCTTTATTCTTTTAAATAGTAGCACCTACTGTAGACCAGTAATGTTCTAGGTGTAAGAAATAGAAAATAGATATGGGGCCAGGGAAATAGCTCAAAGGGGGAGGGAATATTCCTTGCATGGGATATTCCTTCCCTGAGTTCTATCCCCACCGTCAAACGGCCCCCCAGCACCACCAAGGAGGCACATACACACACACACACACACACACACACACACACACACACACACACACCAAGGGTCAAGATTAGTCTTCATGGGCAGACCGGTTCGATCCCAGGCACCATATGGTCCCCAACCATGGGCAGGTGGAGCCCTGGAGACACCCAGACACCAGCAGGGTGGCCTGCGGAATCCCAGGTGAGCAGTACCACATCCTTGGACCCTTGCATTGAACCTCCAGCAGGGGTGACTGAGAATTGCTTGGAGTGGCCCTCAGGCCTCCTAAATGCTACTTGGAAGACACCCCAGCTCCCAAATTACAAAAGAATAAATAGGTCTCTGCCTTCAAGAAAGGAGACAAACATTAACCAAATAATTGCAGACATAGAAATGTAAGATTGCCACCTCCTGAGTGCTTGAGAGCAGTGCCTGGTGGTCAGAACATTGAAGAGGGATTTGTCCTGGGCAGGGAGAAAGGGGACATCTAGGAGGAGATGAGGCTGAACTGAGTTCTGAAAGATGAATAAGAGTTAACCTCTAAAAGAAAAAGGAAAGGGATTTCCAGGCAGAGGGAAGAGGCAGGACCTCTGTCATCAGCCTAATGACAGGGAGCTTTTCCTCTGCTGCCATTGGATGAGTTTATTAGAGCAAGAGGATAAAGGGGGTGATTTCTCTTATTCAACCTAACCCTCCACTGCTTCTCACCCCACTCCCTCCTTACCATTTGGCATGCCACATTCTGAGCAGACCAAGAGTTAAGTTCTTGGTAAACTTGATTCAGTCAGCATTGGGTCCCATTTTCTAGTTTCTAGATGCAGTCCCTGCCTGCCAGGCCTTCTCCTCTCACCACATCTCATCAAAGAATATCTCATTCCAACAGCTGTAGTGTTGGGTTCTGAACCCAGCAAGCCACTTCTCAGCTGTAACTCAGGCCCTACCTACCTGAGATGCCCCCAGCATCTGCACAGAGGAGAGAGTATTCATGGGGCTGCCCTGGTCCCTACAGTTCTCCAAGAATGGTTTTACAGGGTCCTTCCCCAGCTCTATGCCCCCTCCTGTCCCTACGGAAGATGAAAGATGGAAGGCACCAGCTCTGTGCTCCCTCCTTTTGGGCAGTCATTCAATAAACAGCAGCTTTTCCTCATGCTTATGAAATACTAAATAGTCATTATAAAATATGATCCTTAAAGAAAAAAATTTTGAAAAAGCCACCTCATTTTCACATCCCAGGGAAACCCGATTAATATTTTTTTTCCAACATGGAAAATTTCAAATCTATGTAACACAATTACAAGGTGTAACAAATCTCTATAATGCCTCCATCAACTTCACCCAATGTCCTGTCTCTCCTCTCTTCCCCTCACTTGAATTATTTTGAGATGGGGCTGGAAAGAGAGCACAGCTAGTAGGCACTTGCCTTGCATGTAGCTGACCCAGGTTCAATCCCTGGCATGCCATATGGCCCCCCCCAACCCCAACCCCCGACATCCCACATAACTGCCAGCCAGTGATTCCTGAGTGCAGAACCAGGAGTAACCCCTGAGCATCAACAGGTGTGGCTCAAAAAGAAATAGAAAAGGAAAAAAAAAAGAAAAGCTGTTATATCTTGAAATAAATCCCAAGCAGCATATTATTTTATCTGAGTTCTCATTGTCTTTTACAAATTATTTTTATAGATTATTTTTAAACATGTAAGCTTAAAATAATTTTAGTAAACAGAATAAATAGTAAAATAATATAAATTAATAAAATCAGCCAACATGGCCGAGAGTATCTCGCCCGCACGGCAAAGCCTGGCAAGCTAGCTGTGACGTATCCGATATGCCAAACACAGTAACAACAAGTCTCAAAAAATGGAGATGTTACTGGGCCCACTCGAGCAAATTGATGAACAACTGGAGGACAGTGACAGTGAATAAAATCAGCATAAAATGGGACTGGAGTGATAGCACAGCGGTAGGGCATTTCCCTTGTGCGCAGCCAGCCCAGCCGAGCCAGGTTCTATTCCTCTGCCCTCTTGAGAGCCCGGAAAGCTACTGAGAGTATCCCGCCTGCATGGCAAAGCCTGGCAAGCTACTGAGAATACTCAATATGCCAAACACAGTAACAAGAAGTCTCACAATGGAAATGTTGCTGGGCCTGCTCGGGCAAATCAATGAACAATGGGAGGACAGTGACAGTGACAGCATAAAATATCTAGGTTGCATTTACATGTCCTGACTTCCTGGAAATGTGACTCTCTTTTTATGTTAATGTTTTGACTTCTTACTCAAACTAAGGTTTACATTTGGTAGACTGTCTCAAATATCTAAAGGTTTTGTTTTTTTTTTTTTGGCTTTTTGGGTCACACCCAGCAATGCTCAGGGATTACTTCTGGCCCTGACCCAGAAACTATTCCTTGTGGTTCTCAGGGGACCATATGAGATGCTGGGGATCAAACCAGGGTAGGCTGTGTTCAAGGCAAATGACCTACCCGCTGTACTATCATTCTGGTCCAGATATCTTAAGTTCTTTCAGTACCAAAAT